CCCCCCCCCCCCCCCGAACAGCATACTGCATGTGCATCTCGACGACATATCAGTAATAACTCGGGCAGCTAAGACTCACAAGTCTCTCTGACGTCGGTCAAGCTCGGACGCTCTAACCAGCAGTTGCGCTTTGATAAGGGCAATAATCACTGCGAATTACTAGCAAACATCATTTGCTTGCTTAAGCCTGAGAAGACTGATTAATTGGCGGCCGAAGCTGAGAGAAGAAACAAAACACTAAGACAACGGGAAAAAAGCAAGAGGTACGAAATATAGCGAAGGCTGACTTAAAGTGTGCTGAGTCCTCGGGCAGTAAGCCAGGTTTGGACGATATGCTGTGCTGTCTCCGCCTGTAACATAACTTTAATGTAGTCGGTCATGTCCTTTGCGTTACGAACGCAAGAAGCCGTCAATACATGCTTGTTCCTGAGGGTAGGTGGTATGATCCATTTTCCAATGTTTCAGAATTTCGGAGTTCCGTTTGGTGCGATAGGCTCGCGCTTGTACTTTATACAGCATTCTTGGATCCTGTCACGGGCGCTTCTATCGTCTTATTACCTTCCAGCTCGTTCCATTGTACTCGCCCTCGTTCTCTATCTAGTAGCATTGATTATAGGAAATGGCTAGTCCTCTGGCCGCGCCGTTTCTCCGAATCCTCTTTACTGACCTTATACCATACCTCCGTAGTAAAGTTTGACATAGTTTTTTACCGTTGCAGAATATAAAGCTTCTTCTGAACTGTATTCATTAATCCACCTACACATAAACACAATCCCAGTAATTGTTTCGAACTTTACTTCTATCTATGGATTAAACTTATACAAATACCCAAAGACACCGTTGAATATAGACTTCGAGGTATCATGACCTGTGGTGAACTCTCCCAGTGCGTAACAGAAAGCTTACAAAATGACTCCTCAAAACACTAAGCTACCTTGGGTCATATAAAGGAGTTCTCTTCCTTCAGCTATTCTTCCACAGCTCTTCTTTGTCCAATTCTTCTCTTCCTTCAGCCTCGCCAACAATACCGAATGGAGGCATCATCCCAACATAATCTTGTCTCGTGTACATATCCGGCCTGCTCCGAAAGCACTGATATGTCCAAGTCCCCTTTCCTCGAACTCCCCATCGAAATCCTTGAGAAAATCTGCATCTTACTAGCGGAACGTGACCAGCAAACCAGCATCCTCAACCTAGTCCAAACATGTCGAGCTCTCCGCAACGTCGCAACAATCTTTCTATACCACGACATAGACACCTCAGACTGGTTCGGTAGAAGAATGCGTCTGTTGATGGATAACTTATGGTCTTCAGTAGCTCGCCGCTCGTTCGTCCGTCGTTTACATTTCCGGCCAACATCTCATAGAGCAAGTATCGCGAACGAACTATTCTATATGGAAAACTTCCTGGACATGACACAAAATCTGCAAGTATTCCATCTCAATTTGGGAAATTGCCGGTCGTTTCCCCGAGAACAGCGGCGAATCAAGATGGAGGCCCTGCAGCATATTATCCTTGAAAACTTGCATGATGATCATCGTCGTGTATTGGACTTTATCGAAGAAGCTCCCAAGCTGGAGGTTCTTACCATGAGATTCTGTTGGTTCGGAGTTGAGTGTGGACTGCTTAGGAATCTGAAGTGTCTCGAGCTCATCGATATCGATGAGTTATGGGAAGGTTCAGTGTTGCTGGACGGGTTTCTGCCGCAATGCCCCAACTTGAATCGTTGACTCTTACTACTTCACGGTATAACTCGTATTATAACTTCGATCCCACTGAGGTAGTAGACATATCGGTTATGCTCTCCCCCTGCCGAAACACCCTTCGTCATCTCAAAATCCTGTGGCAATGCTGGTTTTGCAAAGCCAGTGGCTCACTCAGAGGTTTCACCCGTCTTGAGACAGTCGTTATAGGCTTTCATGATCAACGTTCATGGCTTCCAGAGACGCATCTTGTTGACTTCTTGCCACCTACTGTCCAGTCGGTGACGCTGGACATATCTACCCTTTTTGTGGCTGCCCCTTTTAACAATTACTCAACGGAGATCGAAGTTACCCCGAATGTATTTGCGTCCATGGAAAAGTTGGGTGAAGCGAAGCAGTAGGGGCTATTCCCAAGTCTTCAAAGTTTCACACATTCTAATCACCATGAAGCCGTTGAGTTTAAAGAACTGTCGAGCAAGTACGGTATGGAGTTTCAAGCAAAGCGCAAGAGTGCTTTTGACGATGTCCTAACCTGACGATTCCCCCGTGGGGGCAGATAAGATCAAATGTCCCCGCAAAACCCCAACCCCCAATCAGCCTAATTGAACACTCCCCCGAAAAGACATGCATCCCCAAAGTTCCGAATAGCGTCAAGTCCCATTGCTAGGATTAATATATAGTTCTCGTTGGTGGAATAATAAGGCCGATCTAGCCTTTGATGTTGCATCGCCAGTTTTAATAGACTATTATATCACTACGGCATTTCACATCCGAGTTTGTATCTGGGAAGGTGATGGATCTGTGTATTCTAGATCATGATTTGTGGAATTATAGGTCTTACCCCAGATCGCTTGATATAGACTTGTTTTCTGGGGCAAGTCAAAACGCTTGTTTATAAGAGACTTACTGCCTTACCACCGTAGACAAATCTTGTCGCCAGCACGTCTATCTCAAGATGAAAATTTTCATCCTAAAGTCAGCCTTGGTGGCCGCGACCCTTCTCTCTACTGTCACCGCATCTCCCAAAGGTCCTGTCGACACTTATAAGAAATGCCAACGCCAAACCAAACGCGCAACAGAAGGCTGTCCCAAAGGAACCCTCTTCGTCGCCAAAGATGATTCCCGCGCAGACTTCTCCTCCATCCAATCCGCCATCGACTCTTTAGGAAACACCACAACTCCAGGCCACATCCTTATAGCACCCGGTGACTACACAGAGCAATTAAACGTCACCCGCAGAGGTCCTCTTCATCTTATCGGAGCTTCAAACAAGCCATGGGTCAAGGACCTCTATGCTGATATTGACGTCAACACCACTGCGCAGAATGATGTGCAGATTTGGTGGAATTTGGCAAATACTAATAATGGGAGTATGAGCGATAATGTGTACACGAGTGTTTTGACCGTGGGACCGAATCTGGATGCTACACTTACTGGAGCTGGACCTACGGGTTGGCCTGTGCCGGCTGGTACACCTTTTGGTTGTACTGATTTCAGGGCGTATAATATTGATTTCAGGAATGATTTTGCGCCCAGATCGGTTGGACCTGCCCATGCTGTTGGCGTTAGCAGAGCCAATGCTGGGTTCTATTCTTGTGGGTTCTACAGTTATCAAGATACTGTAAGTCTCCCTTCTCAAGTCTGATGAGGATCTTCTGCTAACTTAGAATAGGTTTATGTTGGAAAACTTGGAAATGCCTTCTTCTACGATAATATCATCGCTGGAGAAACAGACTTCCTATATGGTTTCGGTACAGCGTGGATTGATCGCTCAACTCTATCTCTGAGAAACTGCAACGGTGGAATTACAGCCTGGAAAGGCTCAAACACCACTTTCACCAACAAATACGGTGTCTATATCGACAACTCTCAAGTCATTCCCTCGAATGCCACGATCGCTAAGAATTTAGTCGGCAAATGTCCCCTTGGACGACCATGGAACTCACAGCACAAGAGCATCTTTATGCAATCGTATTTCGACCCTGTTATCCTACCGGCTGGATACATCATATGGCAACCTTCTACCCCAAGGGTGGATAACTATACTTTCATGGCGACATGGAATGACTATGGTCCTGGATATAATGTCAAGGCTTTGGAAGATGGTGGAATTACTAAGGTTTTGAGCGATAAGGAGGTCAAGCCTTACAAGTCACCTAAGGATGTTTTTCAAACTCCTGAGGGCAAGTTTGGACATATTGGATGGATCGACAAGAAGGCTTTGTAAGATCCATCGAGTCCATTTTGATAGAAACAGTCGAGTTGACTTTGATAGGCTGTCTTATACGGCCATCAAATCGTTTATCATACAAACCTAGCTTGGACCCTCCGATCAACTCGTATCACATCCATGTTTCAGCCTCATTCTTGCCAAGATTCTACTCACAATCAAAAGAGGACAAAGCCACTGGAGCTTATTGTCCGGATAAAGTGAATCGATGTAGAAAGACTGCCTCATAAGCACAAGCGAAATTAGCAGAATCCATCAGCAGGGATACAATACGCCTGTCCAATCATGTTCTCACTGCCCCTTTTTAATATCGCGGGGTAAACACGCTAAGAGATTAAAGATGAAGATCAAAGCATCGAGACCTGATCTTCTCTTCAGATCGACATCGTATAACTGAAGCCACAAAGACGGAGAAAAGTAATTATAGGATGAATCAAGATCAACTTTATCAAGATATGTCTCAGAAGGGGACGAGATGCTATAGATAGAGTTAAATTAAGCCGCCTTGGCTCTACGGTAAGCTTACACCCGAGACAGCGGCTCAGCAGAATAGACCACACCTAAAACATGGGATTAATTACACCAGTGGCGAAAAGTAAGCCAGTAAGCACTCAACCAACAAGCCACAGGAGGGAATATCATCCCGGTAATAACAATCCTGTCAAACGGCCCTCGGCTCACTCACTTGTGATCTTTCTCCTCTTTTCGCTTCTTCAACCTCGTTAGAGGCTCACATTATGTCCTTCAAATCTTGACGACCGCTGCCATCATGGGCTACTCTGGTCGTGAAGACCAGCATGACCCGTCTTGTTTGTTACCCATTGCTGTGTGCATGGGCATTTCACTCTACAACGTCTTGGAACTTAATCTCTTGATCTTTTCAACCTTCAAAACTCGCAAGAGCCTCTACTTCTGGTCCTTTCTTGCCGCGACAAACGGAATTGCACCGCACACTATCGGCTTCCTTCTCAAAAATCTCGTTTCATCGGATAACTTTATCCTTTACATCTCGCTTATCTCAGTGGGATGGGTTCTTATGGTCACGGGCCAATCACTCGTTTTATACTCTCGACTACATCTTATTTTCTGGAACCAGTTCTGGCTTAGGGCTGTTTTGGCTATGATTATCACCAATGTTGTGGTGATGCATGTGCCGATTATTATTCTTATGTATGGTGCTAATAGCAGCGCTGAGAATACTTGGGTGCATCCGTATCAGATTTATGAGAAGATTCAAGTCACTGTTTTCTTTTTTCAGGAGCTTGTTATTTCGGCTCTTTATATCAAAGCTTGTTCTTCTTTCTTTGGGACAGAGGGATTGCTGTATCGGAAGGGGGTGAGAACAATGAGGAAGCATCTTCTTTTTGTCAACGTCGTCATCATACTACTCGACATACCGATTTTGGCCCTCGAGTTCTTGGATTACTACGACTATCAGACGGCGTACAAGGCGATTGTTTACAGTATCAAGTTGAAACTTGAGTTTGATCTGTTGAATCGGCTGGTTGAGGTAGCGAAGGGAAAGGACACGCTTGATTCTCAGAGTGGGAATCAAACTTTTCATAATCTGCGGATGAATGCTTTCGAGGATGGAGGACACGTCAGACCTAGAGATTGCGAGCAGGACAGCGATCATAGGGACCCGGGCCATGATAAAGGGAAAAAGAAATACCTAGGATCGGAAGATGGGATTTTGACGAATACGGATATATCGGTAACCTATATTGAGAGAAGGGATGACGATGGAAACACAGATAGACGGCCGTCTATATAATGAAAGATTATAATTTGTAACATATAAATCTTATTCCACCTGTTTGCATTCAGGGTTACTAACAGGACTCATGACGACCTAAGTCTAAATCAAGAATTTGATAAATGGATCGCAACAAAAGCTGAAATTCTGCCAATAGTTCTGGAGTGTATCGAGTAACTCACGCATTAAGCTCACGGACGTAATGCTATGAAGCTACCCTGGGTTCTTGATATTGTCTTGAAACAAGAGGAGGACTCTTCGAAATAAAATTCTTGGGCCGAACTATCGGCATCTATCCGCTGAAATTGCATTCTTCCACTAATCTATACCAAATGCAATTTGCCAACTCAAGGGTTCACAATTCTCTCAAGGACATGACAAAACTCCCGCACCTCCTCTACGGTGTTGTAATGCACGAAACTGATCCTGATAAGACCATCATCCTCCAGCTTGAGTACATCATGAGTTGGTCTAGGTGCCCAGCAGTGTCCAGCCACAATTCTGAATTTTCCTTCGCGATTGACCTTGTTCATAACATCTCGAGAAGATTGGCCGATGACCTGAAACGTGATGACTGCTACTCGCTTCTCCGGATCAGACGTCTTCTCGCCAAAAATCCGGAACACAGTGGGGTGCCGGTTGAGATATGACAGAAGCACCTCCTGAAGCACCGTCTCTTGAGCAATGATCTTGTCCCAGCTGATGTCGGTCATATATCTTGTGATGGGGACAAGAGCTTCCTCCAACTCAAAAGCATTGGAGCCAAGTCGAAGTCTCCAATCCAGTCCAGGCCACCCACCGAGGAAGAAGTGAGCAATATGCGACACCATCCGCTGCTGAACACTTCGTCGACCGTAAAGCTGAGCCATGTGTGGACCAAACACCTTATACCAGCTAAAACAATAAAAGTCCACATCAAGAGCTCTCACATCAATGGGACGGTGAGGTGCCCATGCGACACCATCAACGATGAGGATGGCCCCGGGGATGGCATGGACGGCGTCAGCGATTTGCTTGATAGGGTGAATAGTTCCCACGACATTGGAGACATGGTTACATGCCACGATGCGGGTTCTGGGGGTGAGAAGAGGCTTGAGTGTTTCGAGAGAAAGACAAGGGTCGTCGCCGGCGGGTGGCATCCACCACTTGATGGCGATTCCAAGGTCGGCTGCCAGGGCTCGCCAAGCACCTGCGCTTCCTTCGTGACAAAGGCTGGAGACAATCATCTCGCAGTCGGAATTAAGAGAAGGCTTCAGGGCTTGGCCAAGAGTGCGGAGGATCATGGTTGTCGATTGTCCGAAAGCTGTATTTGTTAGCGTCTTGTTGTCCTGCTTCAAGACTCTCCCTGGAACTTACCAATTTCATCAGCGTCAGCATTCATGAATGCAGCCAACTCTGCCACCTTGTCCATCATCCTCTTCGTTTTTGCCTGACTCTGTGGATCATCCAAACCGAGCTCAACTGGAAATGCGGACATGTATTTGTGAGTGTTGTCGATAGCTCCTTGGTAGACTGCAGTGCCAGCCGCGTTGTTGAATGCCACTAAGCCATCGTGGAGAGCCGGGAATTGTCTTCGTACACTCTCAACGTCTAAAGCATCCTCCGCGGTCGTCGATGTAGATGGTGTTGGGCAGGAATCTGATCCTGGGGCAATGAAGAATCCTTGGTCCGTGAGATTGTTGATGTTGGCTCGCAAAGCTTCCTTGACGCCCATTGATGGTTGGTCAGGCCCATTCGACACGCCGAATGGCTGATGATCCGTCGTCTCGAGCATGTACATGAGTGGAAACATGACATGCTGATCTTGTTTGGCAGCAACACTCTGTCGTAGCTGTTGCAGCCACTCATCTCGACGCAGAGGTCGTATCATGAAGCCGTATTTCTCCTGCAATAGCTGCCAGATATCTTGGAATTGGATCCCAGCTTGGACTGGTACCGAGATTGTTCCGCTTGGTTCAAAGGCTGCTGTGACAACGATTTCTGAGACGTGGCCAACATCACTCAAGAAGAGCCATCCACTCGCGGTATCCTGGTCATAGGCTCCGAGCTCAAGAGATGCCGCGATGTAGCGCCAGATAAAGTCGCCCTTGTTCGCCATACCCTTCTTTGCATCGCCCATGATGTATCCCGGCTTGATAATCTGGATATGCTTGACCTTGTCTTCTGTCTGTTCGGCGAATCTCCTCACCAACATCTCGGACATGGCTTTGGAACGCGTGTAGCCAGATCCTTGAAGTGCCTTTTGTAGAATAGACTCTTCATCCTTGGAATCGAAGCTCAGGGGCTGTCCACCAGACACATACACAAAGCTCTGTAGTGGGTTGGTGCGGTTGTTGATAGCTTGGAGTATCTGGACAGTCGATGTCACGTTGGTGGCTTTCAATGTCTCGTAGTCCATATGATAATGAACTTTTGCGCCGTTGTGGATGATACAGTCGATGGCATATGGTCCCTTCCCCTCGAGCCTACTCCATGCAGTGGTGTCTAGTCCAAGCTGAGGTTGTGAGAGATCGCCCAACCAAGCATAAATGCGAGACTCGTACTCGCCTTTCCACCAAGCGGCGTCGGTGAAGTTTTGAAGCAAGTAATCTTGTCCCTCCTGGTCAGGGAGTGCCCGAACGAGAGCATGTATCTGACAGTCTGACCGCGTGAGCAGTTGTCGCACAATCTCTCTTCCCACGTAGCCAGATGCCCCAGTAACAAAGACGTGACGGATATCCGGGTTACGCAGCTGCTTTGTTCGAGGGTGTAGAACAGATTTAAGGAGGCTGTCAATATCGTCATTTGTACTGGGAGATAGATCATGGTTCTTGGTCCCTTTCAGACCTTGGCCCGCGTCAATTGTAGCTGCCAGTTGTCTAATCGTTGATCTCGAGCTTAGTATTTGGTCCATGGGGATTTGCACCGCGAACCTCTGCTTGATAGCCTCCGAGAAAGACATGATCTGGACAGAGTCGATACCACCGGATTTGATATTGAAGTCGCGGCGTTCCAACTGCTTACGAAGATGCTGATCTCGGCCAGCGACAATCTCGACGTACAGCTCAGAGACTTTCCTGGCGGTTTGTTCGGTTGGAAGTAGTTGTTTGGCCTCTGATGTAGCAGGTAGAAGATTTGGAGCAGCTGTCTGTGTGGTCGAATGGCTGATGACCCATTTCTGGATAGCCGCTCTATCCAACTTCATGGACGCGTTGAGAGGGAGACTCTTGGCAACAAGGATCTTGCTAGGAATCATATACCTCGGCAGACGCGACAATAGAAATTTAGTCATCTTCTCCTGGTAGTCGACAGAATCTCGAAGCTCGATGTCATCAGTCGAAGTTACGTGGTGAGTTGACGTGCCAACCTGCACCACAGCTACAAGCTGGCCGCTCCATGGGCCTTCTTTCACAAGGCCTGCCATGGAGTGACTGATGTCAGGAAACAAGCCCAGGTTGTACTCGACTTCACCCAGTTCGATGCGTTGACCATGGTACTTGATTTGTCCGTCTGTTCGACCAACAAACTCCAGGCTTCCGTCGAGCGTATCTATGTTGTAGCGCAAAAGGTCGCCCGTTTTGTAAAATCTTGTCTCTCCAACTCCGAGTTCCGAAAGCCAGGGCGGGTTCTGCACCACAGCTGCGTCGGTTCGAGCTGGATCCTTGATGTACTCTTGAAGCAGGCCTGGACCAGCAACTAGAAGCTCGCCAACTGCCCCGACAGGCACCAATCTGTTGTGGTTCTTGAGGTCAACAAGTACGCAGATGTACTCCTTGACAGCATGCCCGATGACCTCCGCGCGATTGGCAAGTGGTCCGATGATACAGCCACCTGTTTCCGCCGGACCGTAGCCTTGGTAAAGTGCAAGTCCACTTTGCGATGACCAGCGGGCAACAACATCTTTTCGAAGTGCTTCTCCAGAGAAGATGAGTGTTTTCAAGGTAGGAAATGAAGCAGGCGACAACGTGTTTGCCAGTGATGGCGTGACGATGGCGAGTGTCACTTTGTGGTTGGTGCAGAACTCGGCAAGGTTGAAGAGGCGATCCTGTTCACTTGGTATGCAAACGCAACCTTGGTGTAGAAGAGTTGCGAAAATGTCGGTGATGAAGATGTCCCAAGTTGAGGCAGCAAACTGGAGAGCTCGAGCTCCTCTATAGCCAAGAGCTCCCCCTTCAGCTAGCATTCGAGTAGCCAGCGCTTGGTGCTGAACCACGATTCCCTTGGGTTTTCCTGTCGAGCCCGACGTGAAGATGCACACGGCTGGGTCCTTGGGTAGGACACGAGGAAGCGGCCTGGAGTTGTGGATGTCGTCGTCCTCTGTCGTCATCTGGGAGGCTTGCAAAACATCCAAGCCCATTTGTGCAAATTTCTTGCTTTGACTCGGCGAGGTAACAATCGACCTAGCGTTGATCTGACTGATGATCTCCTTCGCCCTGGCCTCTGGTTGAGATGGGTCAACTGCCACAAAGGCGGCCCCGGCCTTGAGAATGGCCAGTACAGCTACTACCATCCAGACACTCTTCTCGAATGAGAAAGGAACAAAGTCGCCTGTTCTGACCCCCTTTGATAATAGCTGAAGTGCAAGCTTCTCGGCCGCATCATCTAGCTCGTTGTAGGTCAAAGTACCGTCCCAGGCGTCGACGGCGGGAGCACGTGGAGCGGTGCGGACGGATTCGCGCCAGAGATTGATGATGGAGGATTGTATTTTTGTTGGTGTACGGGGTAGGAAAGATTGCAAGAGGCTTTTGTCCGTATTGCTGGCAAGTACTCTGCGCCAGTCTCGGGGAGACGGGCTCAACAAATCGAGGTGAATCTCCTGGAAAGTCTTCCACAACACTGTAGCAAACTGTGATGGGACGCGAGATCTTCCGGTGTACAGAGATATGTTTCTGTTGGTGACTTGTAAATGGTACTGAATCGTTCCATCAAGAGTGCCAATTGCATGTCCATCTTGTTCCATGAACTTCACACAGCTGTTGATAAGATGACGGTGTTTCCCGGCCTCGAATGGTCTTGTTATGAGCTGAGGCTGGGCATTGGAGTCGAAAGAAGCAGATGGAACAGAAAGTGGCCAGTGAGAGAAGATGAGAACTTGGTCGTGAGGTTCATCCTTCAGTCCTGACGCGAGAAATGCTACCTGATCTGATACGAGATACAGATGCAGTGTGATGGCCCATGCTCTGAGCAGGTGATTTTCTTGCTTCGCGAATAGGGTTACTCTCAGCTCTGTAGATGAGACAGACTGGTGAGATAGAACGAGCTCCCCCGAGGATGGCTTCTCATCATGATTGCGAGCTCTGATAGGCAAAAGGCCTGCAGCACTCTCCATGTCGAAATCGTGGATAGAATCTGGCTGTGATGAGTCGGACATTGTGTGATTCTAGAAAGAGAGTGGTTTTGAATGGAAATCTAGGTGCTTGGTGACTGATACTCATTCACATTTACAATAAAGAAATTTGTTTCACAATCCCCTTGACGCATGATATAACTGGAGTCTCTACAGGAAGGATGCCATGTTGTTTCCAAGTGTGGTTGTGTCCTTCCAACATCATCATCAGTTGCACCAAGTTGCCGTGCCACATCTTCGGGCCGCTTCTGTCTGTCCACTAGGACCTAGGGATGCACAGCTGGAGATGAGGATAATTGACCAGCTTGTGGTGCTCAGAGTGAGAACATCTGCCATGTAGTCTACCCTGCACAGCAAACAAGTTACGCTGTGCAAAATATGAATCCGGGGTCAATCGGAGACCGGTGCTCACTCCATCGGCCCGCTACTGGGAGGATCAGGGAGAGATCAGGGATGCCTAGCCAATGATAGGCTCTTTAACTCCCCGACATCTGTTGGTCGTAAATTCACACCTGGCTTTTAACTTGTTTAAGTTGTCCTTTGTCGACGACCCTGTCAAACTGCACTTCTGTTTCAACGTCCTTCCTTATTAGATACTATGCAAGAAAAGACATTACTTGACTACTAGCTAAGTAGTTGGGTGATTACGTGATCGTTGGTTGTACATGATCAACAGCTAAACACGCGAGGTGACTCAGAGTATCAGCTCCAGGGTTGTTCTTTGTTCTATCAACAAAGTCACATACGTCGAGAAACTTGTAGCGTATTGTACAAGATTGTATTATTACTCTCTATCAAGTCCCTTCCGGGTAACTCGAATATGCTACAAAAAATGCCTGAACTTCCTTCTATCCAAGTATGGAGTGACAAAGGTAAACCCACACTTCTCGTTTCAACAATAGCTTGCTAACCTAGACTCCAGATCTGATCAGTGGGAGCACCTGGCAGGTCTCACATATCTCGTACTGGGAAGAATACCGATGGCAATCGGTTGACTTGGTCATCACTAACCTCCATCAACACAAAACACCAACTTGCAACGAGGGTCTGCGACTGATTCTGGTCGAGGAGGGGACATCGACGCCTCTGGAGCCAGGATCCTTGGGGTCAAATGAGGCCTATGACTTCTTGCTTCAGACACTCTTGGTACCCGTAAGTCAGAGTCAAAGGCGTCTCATCAAACTCATCGTGCCACGATCAACTGGCTACATTGCGCGATCCGACATAATTCCTCTACGCCTCCACGACTGTCCACATGTGGAAGTTGTCAGATCCTTTGTTCAACCTCTTCAAGCTTACAAAGAATCACCATTTGTATTGGACAAAAACGAAATCAGCTTGTCAGACATATTTAAGGAATCTGTAGCAGGCCTTTTAGTCTTCTCGGACCCCAACTCGGACCTTCAAGTCATCTCATCTGAGCTAGAACAAGAGCTAGGCAATCGACTGTCATTCCCCTGGCTCATTCACGAGACACCCCGTGAGCGGACTCTCGTGCTCGTTGAAGCAAACAGCTCTCATCCCCAAGATGGACTTGGTCTGTACACAGCAGCCAAAGCCCTGGGTATCAAGCTGGTGGTATTGGATGAAGCGGATCATTGGCTCGCCAGCAACGAAGGAGACGGCTTTCGTGAGGCATTTATGCCGATAACACTCACCAACCCGCCTAAGCCAGAACTTACAGACCATATTCTCACTGCTTTGAAGTCGTACGGCAAGCCTGTCGATGGCATCATGACGACTGCGGATACGTACTGGCCTTTTGTCGCTGAGGCGGCTATAGCTTTGGGTCTTCCTGCAGCGTCACCAGAGGCTTTCCAGATCGCCACGAACAAGTACAAGACCAGCGTTTTTGCTGGCCATCAAGCACATCACGCCTCTAGCCCCGAAGAAGCCGCTTTAATAGCTCAGAGGGACGACTTATCTTACCCCCTGATTGCCAAACCGTGTGGAGGATGGAGTTCTGAGGCAGTCTATCGTGTTGACTCTCCTGATGCCCTGAAAAAGGCTATTGGTGCGATCTTCTCATCTCGACATGGTCATGAGCTTGTGATTGAGCCATACTGTGACGGACCTGAAGTTGACGTTAATCTCGTTCTGCAAGATGGGCAAGTCCTCTTCTTTGAAGTTTGCGATGACTTGCCCAAATCAGCGGACGTCAATGGGCCAAAGGTTGGATCGCTGTCTACGTTTCACGAACTTTGCAGCGTTTACCCATCTGAGCTACCGAAACAAGAGATTGAGCTATTACGCGATACTTTTGTGGACATATTGCTGTCACTGGGACTTACTAGTGGTGTGTTCCATCTCGAAGGGCGCGTAGAGAATTCGGCAGTCGAGTACAAGGAGCAAGCCAACGGTAGCATGGAACTCACCGAAAGGACAAGTGATATGATGAATGGGAATGACCAAGTCAAGGAGCCAAAAGCATGGTTGATCGAGATCAATCCTCGTCCTTTGGGCATGACGGGCTCTCAAATCATCGAGCACACGTACGGCATCGACTACTGGGGTCTAGCTCTCCTACTCACCGTCAATGACACTACTCGCTCTCGCGCGCTTGCTGTACCATTCAAAACTGGCCCTCAGTATACCAGTGCCATGGTCTTCATCCCCGCCGACTTTCCGTCATCTTGTCAAGGGATCTTTGACTCGGATGATATCTGCAAAGAGCTGTTCTCACGCAGACCTGATCTCGAAGCATTTGTAAGTCGGTGTGGATGTTTGGTCAAGCGCGGACAGAAGGTTCCTCATCCCAGTGAGGGTCGCAACACGTTTGTTGCTTATTTCAACGTCTTCTCTCGAAGGAGTCGTCAAGAGGCGACGGATATTGCAAGACAGGTTCGAGAGGAAGTCCGGTACCAGTTCAAGTAGTTGTCAAATGCACCATTTTTGCTTCTATCTATAATCGTTCTTTTTTATGCATTGTTAGAAAGTGGACGCCATACTCGTTCCTGCATTCTGATCGTATCTCTGCAGTGTTGTCATCAGACGTGCTGCTCTATGATCTAGATGAGTGTACGAAGTTCGTAATCGCTCCACAGGTAGCTTTACGCTGTGTCTAGGATCGTCAAGGTGGCCATTCAACCCCTGTACCAACTTCCGTACCCGCCTAAGTTCGGTAATAACAATGTTTCTCCATATCACATCTGTTTCCTCGCCCTCTACTCTGTAGTGACCCAACAGAAGTTGATCGCGCTGACCATGGCCGCTGTCACTTGGCCTTGGAATGCCAGGAAAAGAACCAGAATCTTGGAAGTTATGTTGGCCCAATTCAGTGCTTCTGCACTCCCTCCATCGTGAGATTATACTTTCGATGAGTATTAGAATCATGTCAATAGACACAAGTGCCAGCATAGGTCCAGCAATTCCCAACTGGGTTGACGGGTACTGTAACACTCGGTGTACCGATTTTGTGCTTGTGTTGACAACATGCATCGTCCTATCAATGCTAAGTGGTAGGATTCCGAGCTCAGTCTCCAGGTTGGATAAGACCTTCACAAAGACACCGATACCTGGTCGACCGGCTGATGTGGAAGCGTCCCCTGGCCCCCTTGACTGTGGTTGTCGAAGCTGGGACATGACGTTGCTGCTAACACGTGTTGATACAGCTTCGAAGGAAGAGTAAGGATATTTAGGTCGCGTTGCGTGGCCTGAAGCCGATGCTGGTGGCGTTAGTAGAGTTGTAGTAGTAAATGTAGAGGCCATAGGCAGTCCAGGTGTGGATGTTTCGAAAGGGCTAGGCATGTCTAGATTGTCCATGTTGGTCCAGAGAGCGTCATCAGTATTGAACTGACCGAAATCCGAGAGCATGTCAATGCTGCTCCCATCATCCGCTGCCATTCCGAGCTGATGGTTCTCAGAAAATGCCCCCCAGTCGATAAAGGGTAGCAGATCGACATCTGCAGGGGAAGCACCAACATCAGTCCGGTCAACTGTATTTCCCATACTCAGTGAATGAGAGCGAGGATGTCGTCCTGTGCCATTGGAAATGGAAGGCTCCATGTCGTGTGAGCGATCTGTGGTCACATTCGGTCCCCGTGAGCCACCTTCACCTGCTGGATTTGATGATGAAGCACCAGATATTGACACTCTGTCCGAATTGCGCGCTGGCCTACGACGGCCTCTTGAACAACGGCCCACCATAGAGATCTCAAAGTGGCATTCTAGTCCTGAAAAAGTCAATCTCAAATCTGATAGCCGTGCTTGGCAGAACGCATATGCACATGTTAATTGGTACATACCAGCGTTGAGACATCGTTGACAACCCGTTTTTTCGCCTGTGCATTTGACCTGTTCACCGCAATCATATCAGTCTTGCTTTCTCTTCTGTGACATGACCGGACTGAAGATTCGTACTTTTGAGGCATGGCATTCGTTGCATGCCGAGCGTAGCCGAAACCCAGCTGGAGTGGTGTTGTTGTGTCCTTGCATCACTCCTCTCCTCGAGAACCAAAAAGAGTCCTCTGCACCTCCAGCGAAAGATCTGACTTGGTTGGCTTTCCAAGTATATAGTCGGCCACCGGTTTGCCCCTTGCTTCGGTTCACATCTACCTATGCTTGCTGACGATACCTTCAAATGGCGGACCATGGGGTTGCACGAATCCTTCAGTGGGGGCTGACTGCTTGAACGGATGAACAAGCATCGATCTATCACCTGGATCTAGACGGAATAGGGAGGTAATAGCTATGTGCTTACGCATGTCTATGCAACAACGCCCCAATGATTGGTTTGGATATTGTTTATACAGTCCTAGATGAGCTTGATTCTGCGACTTCCGGTTTCAGATAGCTGTGCGATTACATGACTTGCTGAGCAATGGCTTTGTGAAACAGAATATCATCTCGATTGACAGATATGCTGATTAATAATGAATGACGCTCTCACACAGCCCAAACTACAATTCATATCGACTACTATCTAAGATCTTCCACTACAATCTTCGCCTCACATCATCACCGTTCTCTCTCTCCTGCACTACCTCGCCTCCCCCCCTGCTTACGCAGCTCGTAAATGTGCCGATTCAGCCAATACCGCCGCAGATTTGCATCATCCATGTCCCGCGCACCCCGGATAGTCCCGCAGCACCTCTTTTCCCCCGCGCCGCACCAGCAGGTGAACTCACGCGCCATGATCCATTCGGTACTCGGGTAGAAGACTGATAGAACGTCACCCTTGCGGAGCGGACGGTCGCGGCTTACCCTGACCTCCCATGTTGATGTGTCGCATTCGAGGGTAGGAGAGCACGAGTGATTGCAGTAGTATAGGTCCGAGTTCCAGATGAAGTGAGATGAGGTACCGCTCTGGACGGTGTCGTAGTCTCGTTTGGACGTGGGCGTGACGCCGTTGATTCGGGCGAAGATGGCACCAGCTGGTAGATCTACAAGGGACTCTGCCCATGACTTGTAATAGCTTTTGCTGCTGGTGCTTATGCTAGTGCTGCTATCACTATCACTGCTATTTTCATCCGTCGTTGATATTACCACTTCCTTGTGGACGACCATGAGCCTGTCAAGGTCGGGATTAACCCATGCGGGAGCCAACAAGGGTTCTGCGGCGGTTGAATCCTTCGGACGTGGACCTGTGGCCATGTTGTACAGTAGTCTATGTGATGTTGGGTACTTTTGAATGCTACTGCGTGGAATAAGATCCTGTTGATGCATACTCATCTGATGATCCGCGGGTGCTCGCCTGGGGACTTATAGCCTACGCGGTAACCGCGAGACTCATCTAATCTGTAGACATGTCATATCAAGGTTGTTCAAGTAACCTTTGACACTCGGTCACCGAACAAAGCCTGGGCTATCCACCGAAATGTGAGATACAGCAACACTAGGTATCCAATGATGAACGGCAACAACTTCCAAGATTGTTCTTCCTGGAGACTGGCAGGTGGGCAACAGAAGAAGTGTTCTCCAAAGCTTAGGTTAAAGAAACAAAGTAGCCTAGGTTCTAGTTTAAAATAGCATAATATGATCAAATTATTTCATCTCTTATGCTTTGTAAGTCAATTCTGATACCCTAAGAACTTGGTGAGCCGGGGAGATGAACCTTTGTCATGTAGCCAAGAGTTTTGACAAGCCAAGATACCAAGACACAATATCATAGGGTCAGTCTTGCTTGAGATCTCAAGTGCCATGGAAACTTCACGAACTCCCCGAACAAAAAAGGGGTTGCAGAGGACGTACTTCCAGGGCAAAGGTTGTAAGAGCAGATGAATCTCTTCAAACACGGTAGTCTTGTCAGGAATCCCAGCCCAGCTTCATGAGTTTCCTTACTGTGTGCTAGACATTATTTTTCCTTGGATGGGGCAACATTCGCTTATCCAGTTTAATAACTTGTATCATGCACATCTTTACGAAATCCTTCGTCTTCAAAAGGTAGCTCCCGCGATGGCAAAGAAACAGTGTGATATCTTCAATAAACGAAAGCTTGATTGACCAACTACAACTTTGCTCCTCTACGCTCTTTTTCACTAACTAGATGGTCTGGAAACTTCCAAAGACGGCACAGCTCCTCCAACAAGGATGCCTCTTCACGTGAAGATGCCTTCGGAACATCGCCCAGGCGGCGGAGAATAATAGACACTGCCTTCTCTCCCAGAACAGGCATGAACTTAAATGCATGATCACAACCCCCGGAAGCGACAAATAAACTTGTCCCAAAGGATGGGTGATAGTCAACAATGAAATCATACGATGGGGTGTCATTGTACCAGCATCGACGGACACGGGTAAATGGTCGCACTGCAATACTGTTTAGCAGGGGATCATGTCGTTTCGACACGTCGAGACTCCCAAAATCATCTTGCGGGCCGAGAAGTTCGAGGAGAAATCCCCGGAACGCTGCAAGTGCCTTGTTGACAGCCGGGCTTTCAGGGTCGTCGTCGGTGACTTTGCCTCCCCAACCGGTGCTGGGGTTTGCCCAGTCGGGCTGAATGTTAGAGTCGGCTTCCGATCGAAGCCTAGCGGCCTCATCCCTGTCCATGAGATGGGCGCTTTTAAGGATTTCAACCCTGCTGCCGGTGGAGCACTGGCCGAGTTTGAGGCAGTTATCCTGGTCCGGCCCAACGCAAAAGACTCCGCGGTGCGTGTTGACGATCAAGGGCCACTGTCTTTTCCTCAGTTCCTGGGCTTCGGATTCGGTCAGTTGTATGTAGGCGACAAAAGCGCTCTCGACAGTGCACATGTTGGGGAGTTGGAGGATGCGGGACGAGTGGCAGCCGGCGGCGATGATGGTCAGGTCGGCGTGTATTTCGGTCTCGTCAATGAGGACTACGCCGTTGACGCGAGCTCCGCCGTTTGAGTACAGGAGCTTCTGCACTTGGCCGACACGGAGGTCAACCCGGCCCATGCGGATAAGTTTTTGTCGTAGCCATTCTATGGTTGCTCCTGAGTTGGCGTAGCCGCAGTCTTTGGAAACAAACCCCCTCTGGCTTGATTTTGATTCCTGGCCTGTTTCGTTGCTAACCTCTGTCTTGCCTTGCAAATTGGATCGAATCTCATCCAGTGAATCCCAAATCTCCAATGCTCCTGCGCCCCCCGGTGTCATCTCACACCCCGTAGCATAGGCATCTTTGACGTAATTCACAGTCTCCCCCTTCTTCTTTGGTGCTCCTAGAGGCCCTCCTTCTCCCGAAAACAGCAACCTCTGCTCGACGTATCTCCCATCAGCACCCCAGTCAGTACGCCAACGCTCCACAGATTCGTAGGCGAGCGCGGCGTAGGGACCTTTGGGATAAGCACGACGAACGATGCGAGAAGTGTCGGAGTTTGCAGCACCTGGGTTCTGTACCGAAGTAGACGGAAATTCCGGTTCAAAGTTCCAGGCATCAAGAAGGATGATTTGACTTTTGGAGAACTTTTGATTGAGGCTCATGTAATATGCGGTGGACACTGTGCAGGGTAGGGTGTTAGTGATTTCTTGACTATAATTGGTTGATCTTAGATCTCAGTGCCCAGGGAATGGTAAGCGCTCACGTCCAAAGACACCAGAGCCAACGATCAAGATTCGGTGGGGGATAGCCATGACGTCTACTCGTAGTATGGTCGTGTAAAGGAGTTGATATGCTGGGGTAACTCACCCTCTTGGTGATGTTTATGGGGTACTAGTAGTTGATTCCATAACTTACTTGATCATCATCCTTCATGTCAGTATAAGCTAAGCCCTGCACGTCGGTGAGAAACATAAGCATCGGCCGCCTGAATGATCAGTCTGACCTCGACAAGTCCATCGTTCGTCAGGGGTCATGTCATGCATTATACGGACCGATGCAGGTCAGGTTTATCCCCGATGTTTTGAGCGGCGACTTAGTGTCGCAGCCAAGCTACGGAGATTTTCCATTAGTTGTATTCGTAACTCCGGCACTATCTGCGGAACGGGCCGTACCAAGTCCATCGCCGCGCCGGTCCCATTATGGTCGCGTGATCTGTGCAAGCTTATGGTGTTGTCGGAGGCGGATGTTTTTATCGAATATGTCTTTGAATGATGGCTGTGGCAAGAGCATGCCCAGTGTGTTTGAGTGACCATGAACAAGCAAGACGCCGCAGCTTCTGACAGTCCGAAGAAAGTGGATGACTGGGTTGCCTACCCTGCAGTTGTGGAAAAGCATGCTTTGAGCGATGAAGTTGGCGGTTTGATGTCCAAAGAGAGAGGAACTTCAGCACAATATAGATGCACTGAACTACAACCACTTTATACTCAAAATGTGATTTAGTTGAGCGATATCGATTTAATCTATCTAAGAGCAGTCTCATTTAGGTCACATCGCATTTAGTATGTGTCAACAAATGTCATGACGATTGAGTAGAGTGTATTTATATTGCAGTCTATCTATTCCAACCAAGGTGGATAAGCATGTCATTTCATACAATTTACTGAATGATCCCACAATCCCAATTTGAAATATGTCTAAGTGTTGTTTCCTTTCGAGTTGCAGCTTACTAGCTCCTCCCTCAGTTCTTGTTGATATCTCGCACCAGACGGGGAGTAACCCAGGGATACGGATAATCTACCTGCCACCAGTTCAAGCTGCAATCCATTAGTATAACCATAGCCCGGAGAGGAAAGGGGAGAGTAACTCACAATGACTTGCGTCCCGAAATTCGCGGATGAACAGCCCACGATCCACCAGCAATAGCCTTGTGCTTTCCTTTCATGAAATCAGCTGCAAAGTATGCAAGTCAGTCTACATCAAGATTGAAAAATGGTAGAAGGTATACCACTATAGCCAGGATAGATGTCCATAGGCTTAAAGTTCGGCTGAGGAGCAAACCACGAACTAGACCACTCCCAAGCACCACCCATATCTCCCAAACCCGACAGACGTCCACCGTTCTGAGTCACAGGAGTAGGGTGAAAATTCTGAAGACCAGTATTACAGCCTGTAAGATCAACAAAAATCTCCTCAGGATCAACTCTCTTATCCTCAGCCTCAACGTCGTTATGCGGAAGAGCAGCCTTCTTCTGCTTCTCGACGTGCTCGTGAATACTGCGCACCTCATGTAGAGTTGGGATTCGAGCACCGACCCATTCGGCATAGGCTTCAGCTTCTTGGTATGAGGACATGAGGGGCCAGTCTAGAGCCAGGGCGAGAGGGATAGGGCCGTAGACAGTTTTGATAGCGTGGGTGTTGATGAACTGCTCGAGAGCGTCATTCTTGACTCCATTGCCATTGGTGGAGTGACCATTATGCTCATGGCCGTTGAGTCCGTTACCGTTACCGTTGGTGTGGTGGCCATCGACTCCGGTAATATCCGAGTTGGGCAGTTTGGTCCAGGAAACTGGGATCGACTCTATCTTGCCGGTTGAGACAAGGTAGGTCGCATACTCCTCATTGCAAACCGGACGAGCCTGAGCCTCGAACTCGGGCATGGAGACAGAATAAGGCTCACGCTCATTATCCCAAGCAAAGAACCGATCAGGGCCATCATCACTCTCTGGATCATCAAACCCAATAGTAAACTCCTGAGCAGGGATTTGGAACCATTGGTTTTCAACACGTTCAAGGTAGGCTTTCTTAGCCATAGCTGCGAAGTCAGGGGCTGGACCTGGTGGAGGCTTGATGTTGGGGCTCTGAAGAGTCATGTATAGAAATGTCTCAAGGTGAAGGGCTATCCTAGTTAGTTTATCTTGTCTATACAGCAACGAGGTATATGGCCGTAGTCAAGACTCACCTTCATGCTCAAACCCAATCCAGATGGCCCGCTCAATAGTTCGGTTACCAAATGTCTTTGGATCATCATATAAGCCAATAATCCTCTGATTGACATGATCACGATAATCGAGGATATTCTGTAGCGAAGGCCACGTCTTTGGAAGTTCGCTGTGGTCATGACACTGGGTGGGGTCGTTCACATCAGGATCGATGCCTCTTCCAAAATAGTCATGATAGACGGCTGGTTCGACGGGCTTGCCGTTAGTAGCTCGTGTGAGGTGAATGTCTTCACTTCGAAAATGTTAGTCTTCTCATCCCCACATATGGGCGATGAATGGGTGTAGAGACGTTACTCACAAGGCTGGAATGTGACCAAGGTAGAAGAGAAGGGGGTTCCGAAGAGGAATTGGCTGCTCCATCAACGCCTCAGCGGGAATCATCTTGGTCGTGACAAGATGCCATGCTGCCCACAAGTTTTTCCATTCTTGCAGAGACGGAAGGGGCTTTGCAGCATACTCCTTGGGCTTGAGAGGGAAAGCGTATGACTTTGAGGTAAGTGATCCGATTGCCATGTTGAAAGGATATCTTGGAGTTGTCTCTGAATCTGAATGTTTGTTGAATACAATCACATACAAGACATGAAATAAATTAAAGTCAATTGGCAACTAACTCGTTGTGGATATATAGTCTGAGACATAGATAGGCCGTTGCTATGTCTTATCTCGGGGATTTTCCATCGTCAGTCACTGGCGCTCATCTTGGTAGTGTATCATCACAACAGATACAAGGCAAGCGACTATGGAATCCTGTGACGAGAAAGGACTCGCGTAATTGCCCATTGGCTGCATCGACTCTTCAATTCTGCTATGAGGATGCTGTTCCCTGACAACTCGGTGGCCGTCCTTTGTCAGGACACGACGTCCCAATATCCCATCGCGTACTATAATAGGTAATGTTAACTTACCTTACCCACCTCGTACGTTGAAGTCGAGTAGTCTCATCGGCCACCGATGGTCCGGCCCGAGCGTGTTACACTGCTGATCAATGATGCAGTCAGATCGTATAGTCAGTGTCTCAGTGGTATGCACACTGTTGATACTGTACTGCAGGGACCTTCTACAGGGAGTCCCATTGACAGAAACACCTTCCTCTTGCAGCATAACAGACTGGGGCCCGTCCAATGAAGGACGTTGCCGAATTCGAGTCTCACCAGGTGTCATCAGCATTTACACCCTGTAATCATTGCCAGATCCAGAACAAAGATGCTGAAATGACAGTGACAAGCTTTACCAGGTGTGTTCTGCAAGGGACCTTTGACAAACAGTAAACTGCACAACCAACAGGTGTGACTTGATTTGACTCATCTCATTCAGCACTGACGCGCTGGGCCAACATGAATCCTCAAGCTTTCTTCTTTCATGATTCTGTATCAATTGTATACGATTCTCTGACTGCCCCTGACAAACCGCTGGCCAAGCCACTCGCCCGCCATGGCCTCCACTGAAGCTGTAGCTTCTACAGACGACCATCAACGCGCTGTTCTTGAGCGGCAATTACATGGTCTACCGAATGATGCAGGCCAGCCAATCTCCAAGCCAAACATCACCATCTACGCGACGAAACTCGATAAAGTCATTCTCAGCCTAAGCTCCATCTGTGCCATCATCGCTGGTGCTCTGAATCCTCTTGTTCCTGTCATCTATGGTGTTATTGTCAGCGTATTCAATGGCTTCAGCAACGGATCAGTGGAAGCTTCCAAGCTACGCTCCGAGATTTCCACCTTTAGTCTCTACTACGTCTACCTAAGTATTGCTCTTTTCGTCTTCACTTACCTGGGCACCCTCGGCTTCTACTTCAGCGGCGACCGTATCGCTAGAGCCTTACGCATAGCCTATCTCGAGGCTGTCATACGCCAAAACATGGTCTTCTTTGATGTTTTGCGTCCCGGAGAGATCTCCAACCGTATCATGTCTGATATGGGTATTCTCCAGGAAGCGATCACCAGTAAAATATCAATCATGCTCAGCGCCGTCGCCACTTTTTGCGCTGCTTTCGTTATTTCCTTCATCATGTACTGGAAGACCGCTCTCATACTGAGCCCTTTCTTCGTTACTATCCTTATCATGTTTTCTGTCGGTGGTTCATATAGTGTGAAGCATCAGAAAGTGTCGAGACAGAGGTACAGTCATGCGGCTGGTATCCCGGAGGAAGCCTTTGGCGCTATCAGACAGGTAGCTGCTTTTGGGATGCAGACCTTTGTGAGGGAAAAGTACTCCCAGGGACTAAAGGAAGCGGCAGCAGCAGAACGAAAGGCACAGACCATCGTCGCTTGTTTGATCGCCTCTATGTGCGCCATGCCTTGTCTCATCTACTCCCTCTCGTTCTGGACAGGATCAATCTTCTTGGCGAGGGGCGAGACGTCCGTGGCTTCCATCACATCGACTACACTGGCAGTAACGATTGGTATGTTTGCCATCATTCGCATTGCTCCCTCCATGCAAGCACTGGTTTCCGGTATCGCTATCTCTGGATCCTTGTTCGAGACGATATCCAGAAGATCTCCGCAGGATCCGTTAGGAGATAAGGGGGAAATTCCGGAATCTTTATCTGGAAACATCCAACTGAACAATGTCGACCTTGTCTACCCTTCTAGAGACCAGGCAAAAGTATTGGACAATGTCACTTTGCAGTTCTCTGCCAACAAAACGACTGCCATTGTCGGTCCATCTGGAGGTGGAAAAAGTAGCATCTTGGGTCTTGTTGAACGATTTTATGAACCCACCAGTGGCTCAATTTCCGTCGATGGAAATGACATCCAGTCAATCAATCTGCGCTGGCTCCGGCAACAGATTGGACTGGTAGATCAAGACCCCGTTCTTCTTGATGCATCTATTTACGAGAATATCTGGTACGGCTGTGCAGATGTAAACGACAAAACACCTGAAAGCAAGCGCCTTGACTTGGTTATCGATGCTGCCAAGAAGGCATATGCTCACGAATTCATCATGGCTTCATCGAATGGTTACCAGACCCGTGTTGGTGAGAAAGGGATGCAATTGTCGGGAGGTCAAAGACAACGGATTGCAATTGCTCGTGCACTCATTCGGGACCCAAATATTCTTCTTCTGGACGAAGCCACTTCTGCTCTCGACTCAGCATCAGAAAAGGCCATCCAAGCCGCTATCGACATTGCATCCAAACACCGCACCACAATCATCATTGCTCATAGACTGTCAACCATCAGGAACGCCGACCTGATTGTTGTACTGAGCCGAGGCCAGGTTGCTGATCAGGGCACTCACGATGAACTTATGGCTCGGAGTGGGTTGTATGCGGACCTAATCGAGAAGCAGCAGATCAAAGAAGAGAGCCAGAAAGAAGCCGGTGCTTCAATCGGTCAGGACGACGAGGTAGATGTAATGCCTGGAACACAAGGGGCTACTCAAGAACCAGAGAATGAAAAGGCTGGAGCCACAGAGACAGCAAAAGTTGAAGACACAACGAATGGAGACCCTTCTTTATCTGTACCCAACAAAAAAGGTGCTCTCTCGTTCCTGCTAGACATGAGTAAACCAGATTGGAAGATTCTCGCGATCGGCCTCATATTCTCCATCCTCGCAGGCTTGGAAATTCCAGCGTATGTACTTCCAGACTTCATCCTTCTGAACGTCACGCTGACTGATATGTGACAGGGAATCCATCTTCTTTGCCAAGCTGCTCACAATCATTGGCCTCCCTGAGAACAAGTACTCCCAGCTCAGGAGAGATGTAAACTTGTGGTCTGGCCTCTACGTTGCTCTCGCAGCGGCAGGATTTGTATTCTGGTTAGGCGTTGGAACAACTCTGGCATACGCTACACAGAAACTCTCGAAACGCGTCCGAGAAACTTGCTGTGACAAAATAACTGTTCAAAGCATGGAATTCTTTGATGAAGCCAAGAACTCTCCAAGTGCACTTTCCAATGCCCTCTCAAAAAGCACTGATGACCTCGCCGGTATGGGCGGGTCAGTCATGGGCGGCATTCTGACCTTTACAGCTACCATTATTAGTGGTATTGCTGTCTCTCTCGCTGTCGGATGGAAGTTGGCCCTAGTGTGTACAGCAACAATCCCAGTCGTTGTGGCCTGCGGATGGCTACGTCTTCAAGTCCTTGCTGCGTTTGACGCTCGCATCAGACAAAGTGGAGTGGACTCGGCTGCATACGCTGGTCAGATCGTGAGATCAATGAGGACTGTGGCTTCCTTGGGCCTTGAAAAGCGAGTCCTTGATATGTACGGAGGATTCCTGTCTAACCATGCAGCCAAGTCTCTACGATCGATACTTGTCACGTCTGCACTCTACGCTGCCTCCTCTTCGGTCGTCTACTTGTGTGCCGCACTGGGCTTCTGGTATGGTGGAATTCTGATTGTTAATGGAGAGTATTCTGCCTTCCAAGTCTACGTCTGTTTCGTCTGCCTTATTTCGGGATCACAAATTGCTGGATCCATTTTCACTTTTGCCCCTGATGCTGGGAAGGCAATGCACGCCGCTCAAGAACTTCAGAAAATTGCCGCGCTTCCGGGCGGCGATGAGGGACCTACCACCGAGAGCACACACAGGAAGCAAGCAGTACTGAACAATCTTCTAAATGGACCTGACCCTTGGCAGGTGAAATTCCAGGACGTCTCATTTGCATATCCCTCACGTCCTCACAAGTCCGCTTTGAGTCAATTCACTGTTTCGGTTGAACCAGGTAAAACACTTGCTCTGGTCGGTCAGAGTGGCAGTGGTAAGAGTACTTGTCTTGCTTTACTGGAGCGCTTCTATACACTACAGCATGGGCAGATTCTTGTTGACGGGCAAGACATCCGCAGCCTCGATCTGAACAGTTATCGACAGGCAATTTCACTCATCAGTCAAGAAGCCGTCATCTTCTCGACTTCTATGAGGGACAATATCGCAGTTGGGCTTGTGGGACAAGATGTTCGTGACAATGAGATTCTGGCTGCGTGTCGTCAAGCAAATATTCTCGACTTTGTCAATTCCCTACCGTAAGTACTACGCACCTCCGCATTTCACTCTCGGAACTAACAGAATACAGCGACGGACTCGCATCACCAGTAGGAACAGGTGGTAGTATGCTCAGCGGTGGCCAAAAACAACGCATCGCCATCGCCAGGGCATTTTTACGAAAGTCTAAGCTACTCCTGCTTGATGAGGCTACGTCTGCATTAGACAGTGAATCCGAGGCAGTCGTGCAGACAGCCATCGAAGCGGTTAAGAAGAACAGGACCACGATCATGGTGGCTCACCGATTGAGCACAGTTATGAATGCTGATGTGATATGTGTTATGCGTGAGGGATCTGTAGCTGAGATAGGTAGTCCGCAGCAGTTGCTGGCGAGGAGGGGATTGTTTTGGGAGATGGTCAACATGCAGAGTCTAAACTGATAGACATAAGGACTCAGAGAGCTTCATAGAGAGACAGGACTAATAGAATTACTGGATTGGAATAGGACTGAGCTGCAACCAAGAACAGAACCTCTTCATCTGATGTGATCGTTGGTCGACATGCCTGTACATAACCCTTGAGA